ATCTTCTATCGTGGCATAGACCACAAGTACAAGCTTTCATTGGACACTGCAAGCAATGGAAACTTCATGACCAAGACTGTTGATGAAGCTAAGGTTCTTATTGAGAATCTTGCAGCTAGTGATTGTAACAACTGTCCTGATTATGACCGCTCAAGCCGCACCACTACTAGCTCCCCTGATTCTTTTCAGATGACTGAACTAAAGAACATGATGGCTCAAGTTCTTAAAGGACAGTTCAAGCATATCAATGCAATAGAAGGGATGAGTGATGCGAATGAAGACCCATCAAGAGAGTGCATGAGAGATTTCTCTAATGAAGCTAATGAAGAAGATGTGAACTACATTGGAAACTATGGGAACGAGGGATACAATCCAAGCTATCGCCCAAACCCCAACATGTCTTTTAGAAACCCCAATGTGGAGAACCCTCAATACCAAGTGTATCCTCCAAGACTAATAACTCAGGAAAGTTTGCTGTGACTTGTATCATCAAAGGTAACATTCTTGAGCAATCTTTGTGTGACACTGATGTACTTGCATTTTACATAGTTTTAGCACATCTTTTATGCATCTTTTGCATAGTTTTAGCTTCCATTTGCATCATATCTTGTTCCTTTTCTCTTCTTATGCATTCATGTTAGTTTTAGGTTGCATTTGCATACATATGCATGTTTGGTCCTTTGAAATAGGTCTTTTGGAGCATTCTGGAGCATATGGGACACAAGGAGCATGGAGGGACTTGGCACATGGAAGCAGCTCAACTGGATACGCAAAGGAAGAAGGGAGAAGCCATCTTGAAGACCAGCTCGACCGTCTACTCGACCAACCGGTCGAGTTCCTCAACTCGACCGGCCAAGCTTCAACTCGATCGAGCTGGAAGTCAAAGTCAAACCCGAAAAATGTTGCTTCCCCCTTGACTTTCCTTTGACCCTAAACCTAATCCTCTTTGTATTTAAGGGCTCTAAGCCACGAAAAAACCACCAAGCTTTAGATTATTTTGTTTTAGTTTCTTTTAATTTATTGTCTTTTACTTTTTAGAGATCTAATCCCATCTTTGTGTTCTTGAAGCTCTTGCTTCTTGAATCCTAGATCCTGGATAATCTCTCTTGTATTTGCACTTGCTTATTTCAATAAAAGTTGTTTAATTTCATCTCCTCTTTCTTATGATGTCTCTTTTATTGCATTTGCTTGTGTTTACATTCATGTGTAGTGAGTAGTTACCCATTAGGGTTTGAGATGGGATAGATTAGAGGTTTCATATGCTTAATCCTTCTAGCTTATGGTCTTAATCTAGATTCTCTCTCTTTTGGATAGATCTTAAGGCTACATGACCACTACCCCTGGCTTGTAAGTCCTTAGGCGACTCCCCACACGAAAGTGATGGCATTCGCTGGAAAAGATCCACTAAGAGCTCCAATATCTCTTGCTCTAGACAATAGAGGTCTAAGGGGTTGGATGGATTAGTTTGGGCAATGATCCTATAGCCTCCAAGGTTTGATTCTCACTGGCTAACCCCCTGTTTCTGAGATCATTCCTTGGTTGATAGCCTCCACCTTGGGAAAGGGTTGGCTAGGCATTGAGAAGCCCAATATCAAGAGAAGCCTTGATACAAGGAGTTTTAAGAGCTAGATTGATTAAGTGTAGATTCCTTTGATTGCAAAACCCTGTCTTGAACCCTAATTCTCTCTTTATCTTGTTAAAGTCGTCACCTTTAGCTTTGTTTGTCTCAACTCGTCCCTAAACTCGATCGAGCTGGTACTTTGCTCTGACTCGACTCGAGCTCTTGGTCGAGCTGTACTTCACTGCTTTGTTTACTTTTATTGCACTGCTTTTCATTATTTTTAGGTTGTTAGTGTTACTTCAAATCTATACTGCTTGCTTGACTTTCTGGTTGTTTCATATTCTCAAAGAGTGACAAGTTTCCCATTTTGGATTGATAACCCTTTGTACTACATCAACTATCATGGTTAAAGGGAATTGTTGACTGTGTTTGTGTTTGCATCTTACCACCTCATCATATACCACTGATTGCATTCCACCATCTCATTTCATATCTTTTCACATCCACACACAAATCCTATCATCAGACACAGGAGCCAATGTGAACATCATGTCTAAGAGGATAGCTGACAAGATAGGCCTCACCAAGATACAGCCATCATCCATCTCCATCAACTATGCTGATTCATTCTCACAAACCCCCTATGGCTTTGTGCCTAATGTGATGGTGCAGATTGGAAATTGCTCTATCCCCACCGATTTCCAGATTGTGGAAATGAGAGAGAGTAGCCATAGACCTCTCATATTTGGAACCCCTTTCCTGTCTACTGTGGGTGCCATATTTGATTTCCCCAATCAAAGAATCTCTTTCAACAAGGTGAACAAGGGTATGTTCTTCCCTATGTGTTCAACAAAGAACTCTTTTGTTGACATGGTCCAAGAGGAGAAAGTTACTTTGAAGCCACCCCAAGAAGGAGAAACTGAAGATACAGTCAAGGAAGATCCCATTCCTAAGCCCAAGCAGCTTGCCAAACAAGCAAGGAGTAAGACTAAGGCCCCTACACCAAAACCGCCCAAGGGATCAACCAAGATTGAAGATGAGGCCAAGCCAAGAAGAAGGTAGAAAGCCTAGGTCTGGCCGCAACATGAAGCTTCTATTCCCAAAGGAGCTTATTGATGAGAATCTAGAAGGATTCAAGGAGAAAGTGACAAGAACTCTAAAGCTTTTTCCTAAGGCAGTGTGCCAAGGGACATTCATGGAGAGATTGTCTATCCAGCTGTGAATCACCCACCAGATACTCATTGCAAGGAGAAAAGACTTGGAGGATCAAAGATGCCTCTTGTCTCCATCTTCTCCTGAGTGCCAAGCCTTACAGTCAAGCTAAAGACTTAAAACAAGCGCTGCATGGGAGGCAACCCATGAGGTACTTTTACTTTTCTTTCTTTAAATTTCTTAGTTTTTGTTTTGCTTTTGTGTTTTCTTTGTTTTAAGATAGGATAGAAGGAGAAAAAGGTGTGAAAACACAATCCGCGCCAAACATTGGCCGCGGACGCGCAAAAATTTTGGCCGAGCAATTCCATTCGGGCCGACCGTTACGGTCGAGCCGGGAAGGAACGGCTTATGCTCGGCCGGATTGTTTCATCGCGCGACAAGAACCGTCGCGCGGCACGCACGGGGAAAGAACAGGCCGCGATCGGCCGATTTTCATGTATCGGAACGGACCGACCGTGCCGGTCGATCCGGGAAACAAACGATCGGCCTCGGCCGAATTCTCTCGTCCCACGAATTTGGCCGACCAAATCGCTCGACCGCGACAAAATCCTCGGCCATCGGCCCAAAACTTTTCTCGGCCAAGGTACCCAATGGCAAAGACAAAAGGAAATGAGAGTATGAAGAAGAAGAAGACCCATTCATGCAACCACCAAAGAAACAAATCAAGCTAGGGAGTAGTAGCTCCAATGCAAGAGCAGCAATACCAACATCACCACATTCCATTGATGCAATCAAGAACATGTGGAGAGTCCAAGAAGAGAAGAAGATTGGGCACTTGTAAGCTTTGTTGGAGAACAAATCCAAGACCCAAGAAAGTGCAAGAAGGCAATGGAGAAGGTGAACATGAACCTTGTGTGAAGATGGACACCCCAACCCTTGACCTTCTCAAGATAAGAGATGATGTCACATGGTACATAAGGAAGCTTGGCTTGAGCAAGCTATTCAAGATAGAGTGCAGTGAGTACTCAATGCTAACAAAGGAGTTCCTCTCCACAGTAGCTCTTGCCTTTCCCAACCACAATGGAGACCAACCAGCTGGTGATGGACTCCTATTCTTCAAGATAGGCGATGCCAATGGGCGCATCTCCATCTCAGCTCTATGCCAACTCTTTGGACTTCCCAATGAGACAGCACATGACTTCAAGGAGAACTCAAAGAGGAAACAAGCTGCCTTTGCTGATTGGACACACTTTGCCAATGAACCATTCTTGCCTTCAAGATCAAAGGTGTCTAGAATCACTCATCCAGCCATTCGCTATGTGCACCGCCTCATCTCCACCACTTTCCAATGCAAACAAGAAGCCAACAAGGTCACAACCGATGAGTTCTACATCCTCACCACACCATTCATCAAGCATGAGTACAAGGCCAACCTTGGCCTTTTACTTGCCAAGACACTTCATCAATGTGAGGAATCTAGCTCAAGACTTGGAAGGCAACAAGAAGCTTTGTGTTCGCTTTGGGAGACTTATCACAGCCATAGTACAACATGTGGGGATTGACATTCCCAACTATGAGCCACTACCCAAGCCAATCCCTTTGGATCTCCATGCTCTTCAGCAAATCCACTTCCTAAACCGTTGGACTAAAGACCCAACTCAAGTTTTGCTATGAGTTTCCAATTGGACCAACCAACACTTCGCTTGTCTTGCTGCCACATGAAGATATCCCAAGCCTACGCTCAGGTGTTGTCACTTTCCAGCCCAAGGAGGAAGACTTCTATGTTCCATCAAGTGAGAAACCATCATTCCCCATCCTCACCTATCGCACACTTCAGCGCATGCAGTCAAACTCAACGCCGCCACCAAGAACGCCATGTTCTCACTACTTTACATACCTCTATTTACATGCTTTTTATACTGTTTTAGTATTGTTTTCTAATGGTTTTTGGCAGGTTTTCTATCTAAAAAGGTAGTTTTACTGTGTTTATAGTGTCTAGAGTCTAAACAGGTGAAATGATGCATTTTGGAGCAAAACCATAGGATTTGCACTTCAAGCCGCTCCATGCACAAGCACCAACTTTAAGAGGGCCCAGAAAAAGATCTACTCAATGGATTTCATCAAGACCAGTTCCCTGCGTGCTCTGATTGAGTTAACTTTCCAACGCAACTGGAATGGCCTCATTTGGATGAGTAGAAAAGGAGTTACAACCAAAAGAGTGAAGACTGTCCAGACGGCTCTATCGAGAATCAGCGCCCAACCGCGCAGACCGGCTGGCCGAGAAACTATTGTTTCGCGCTCGGCCAAATCACATCCGTCCGTCTGAAGTCTCGGCCAAAGTTCAAAGACCGGCCGATACGCATCACGACCCGGGAAACATGTCCCGCGGTCGGCCAAGCCACAACCGCTCACGCCAATGCCGCGCACGACCATGCCGCGCGAGCCGGGAACAAAGCCTCGCGGCCGCGCAACCTTCTCGCGTACCACGGCCGATGCGCCGTCCGAGCCGGGAACTACGTCCCGCGTCCGGCCGAGAATTCATCGGCCAAATCTTCCGTCCGACCAGCGGCCGACCACGAATCCGTCCGGCCACGACCGTTCCGACTAAGCGGCCATGACCCGTCCGGCCGATCGTCCCGACCGACCGTCCCAACGCCGCGGTCGACCCGAAGCCCGTTTGAACATATTTTTCAAGCCCGGCTTAACCCTAAGCCGCCTCTAAAGACCTAGCACTATATATATAGCTTTTTAGCCTCTTGTGAAAAGAGAGCCGCCCTTGTATTTCGATTTCCTACTCTAAGTTTTATTGCAATCATGTTTTCTTCATCTCTATGTGTGTTTGCTTTGATCATGTCTGAGTAATCCACTAGTTAGGTTGCTAGGGTTACTATTCAATGAGTTGCTTGCATGATCTTTGATTTCAATGATTAGCTAGGGATTATATTAGAGTCTTTGTCTCGTCTTGTGCACTTAACTAATGCTGATTGCTTTACCGCGCATCTAGTAATCCGATCTTAGGTTGATTTGAGCCTCGACAGTGTTGTATCATTCGCCGGACATATTCTTTGACAAGCTAGGTTTCTTAGACTGCGAAAGTTGATCTACTATATCTAGTGAACTGTATCAGAACCTATTCATTCTAAAGCTTGATTTAATCACCTAGGGACATACCAAAAGTTTAGCGACTAGGTAGATTAACAAAGGAGCCGGAGCCTCGAAAGTGGAATGGTTTTATATTCGTGATCTGTGTTCTAGACGGTTCTTAATATCCCAATATCCCTAATCAATTCATCTATCATTGTTTCATTGATCATTGCTTGCTTCTCTGCGATAGCCCCTATGACCTAGCGCTTTTCCTTTATTGTTTACAACCTCGTTATACTTGCTAGTTCGGTTCACCATTACAACCTCAATCATACTTTTGTTTTAGCTTGATCCAAAATCCATAGTTTCAAAGTGTACTCAATAGCCAGTCCTTGTGTTCGATACCCATACTTCCGCGATCTGTGCACTTGCAGAGGTCTAGGAGTTTGGTAAAACCTGACTCGACATCTGTTGGTGGGGAAAGCCAGGTGGTATGTGCATTTGCTGACCAGGAAAAGTCCCTTGGGGTCCTTGGTAATTGTTCTTTTGACCATACCCATGTTGTGGGGCTTGACTCGATCGAGCTGCTGTTGTTGAGGATAGACTTGGTCCTGAGGGTTAGCAACATCAGTGTTGCGGTATGACATGGCAGGGTTGGACTTGTAATTATAGTATCCTTTGTTGTAACCTCCTTGCCCATTGCTCATGTAGCACACCTCAGCAAATTGTGTATCCTCCCCTTCTTGGACTGGTTCCATCTCTTCAGCAGACACAAAGTTGACTTTCTTCATTGTGGACTGAGCTAAGATCAGCTTATCCAACTTCTCATTCAATGCCTTAACATCTTTTCTCAACTTTTCTCATGACTCGATCGAGTGGTGGGTCGAGCTCCGATTGGTGCGATCATACTCTTCTCCATAGCTTCCATTGAGTTAGCTATGTTCTCCACAAGTTGCCAGCCATCATCTACATCCTGGTTGAGGAAGTTCCCATTGCTAGCTGTGTCAGCATCTCCCTATACCTAGGCAAGCATCCTCTATAAAGAGTGGAGAGTAGTGATTCATTGTTGAATCCATGGTGTGGGCACTGACTTGTGTAGCCTTTGAACCTCTCCCAAGCCTCTGCGAATGTCTCATTGTTTCGCTGGATGAAGCTGGATATCTCTCCTCTAAGCTTGGCTGTGCGACCGGTGGAGAAAAACTTAGCAAGAAAGGCCTTCTTGCATTCATCCCAAGTGGTGATTGTGCCATGGGGCAAGCTCTTCTCCCATTGGTGAGCTTTGTCAGCTAGAGACATAGGAAAGAGTCTCAGCTTGATGGCATCTTCAGAGACACCATTGATCTTTGTCAAATCACAAAGCCTATCAAACTCATCAAGGTGGTCAATGGGGTCTTCACTTGGCAATCCATGGAACATCTTGTTCTGAACAAGGTTGATCATTCCCAGCTTGATCTCAAAGTTGTGGTTCTGCACTGGTGGTGGAACAATCCCTTGTCTCTGTTGGTGGCGGTTTGGAGCATCTCCTAGACCAATCGGTCGAGTTTGCCTAGCTCGACCGAGTCCATTGCCCAAAGGGTTTCCATTCCCCTCTGGTACGTCCATTGTATCAGCAACAAGCACCTCAGGTTCCTCTTGTACCCTCTGTGACCTCTGAACCCTCTTTCTACCCGTTGTAAGTCTAGCTCGACCAAGTCTTCTGTAGACCGACTCGATCGAGTTCGCATACACCTGCAAAAAGAGACAAAAACCCAGCAGTACAATAGAACAGGGGTGGTATAGCTTGATCGTCCAAGTGTGTTTGAAACTCAAATGCAACAAAAATATCCCAAATCGGCAACGGCGCCAAATTGATGATAGGATTTGTGTGTGGTGTGAAAGATATGAAATGAGATGTGGTGGAATGCAACAGTGGTATATGATGAGGTGGTAAGATGCAAACACAAACACAGTCAACAATTCCCTTTAACCATGATAGTCATTATAGCATAAAGGGTATCAATCCAAAATGGGAAACTTGTCACTCTATGAGAATATGAAACAACAAGGAAGTCAAGCAAGCAGTAATGATGGGGTAACACTAACAACCTAAATGAAACAGAAATGCAATGCAGTAAAAGTAAATAAAGCAGTAGAGCAACAGCTCGACCAAGGACTCGAGTCGAGTGGAACAGAGTACCGAGCTCGATCGAGTTTAGGGTCGAGTTGAAGTAAAAAGCAATAAAGGCAGCGACTTTAACAAGCTAATGCGAGAATTAGGGTCTAAGACAGGGTTTTGCAATCAGAGGAAGCTATACTTAATCATCTTGCTCTTAAAACTCCTTGTATCAAGGCTTCTCTTGATATTGGCTTCTCAATGCCTAGCTAACCCTTTCCCAAGGTGAAAGCTATCAACCAAGGAATGATCTCAGAAACAGGGGGTTAGCCAGTGAGAATCAAGCCTTGGAGGCCATAGGATCATTGCCCAAACTAATCCATCCAACCCCTATGAACTCCATTTCGAGAGCAAGAGTTATTGGAGCTCTTAGTGGACCTTTTCCAGCGATTTCCATCACTTCCATGTGGAGAATCGCCTAATGGACATACAAGCCAGGGGTAGTGGTCATGTAGCCTTAAGATTATCCAAAAGAGAGAGATCTAGATTAAGACCATAAGCAAGAAGGATTAAGCATATGAAACCTCTAATCTATCCCATCTCAAACCCTAATGGGAAACTACTCACTACACATGAATGTAAACACAAGCAAATGCAATAAAAGAGACATCATAAGAAAGAGGAGATGAAATAAACAACTTTTATTGAAATAAGCAAGTGCAAATACAAAAGAGATTATCCAGGATCTAGGATTCAAGAAGCAAGAGCTTCAAGAACACAAAGATGGGATTAGAGCTCTAAAAAGTAAAAGACAATAAATTAAAAGAAAGCTAAAACAAAAGTAATCTAAAGCTTGGTGGTTTTTTCGTGGCTTTTAGCCTTTAAATACAAGAGGATTTAGGTTTAGGGTCAAAGGAAAGTCAAGGGGGAAGCAACATTTTTCGGGTTTGACTTTGACTTCTCAGCTCGATCGAGTTGAAGCTTGGCCGGTCGAGTTGAGGAACTCGACCGGTTGGTCGAGTAGGTGGTCGAGCTGGTCTTCAAGATGGCTTCCTCCTTCTTCCTTTGCGTATCCAGTTGAGCTGCGTCCATGCAACCATGCTCCTGTCCCATATGCTCCAGAATGCTCCAAAAGACCTATTTCAAAGGACCAAACATGCATATGTATGCAAATGCAACCTAAAACTACTATGAATGCATAAGAAGAGAAAAGGAACAAGATATGATGCTAATGGATGCTAAAACTATGCAAAAGATGCATAAAAGATGTACTAAAACTATGTAAAATGCAAGTACATCATCCCACCATCAAGGGTGATAGTGAGGACTTGAGACAGAAGCTCCTTTAGCTTGGTTGGGTCCCTGGACTGTTCTGAAGTCACCAAGGCCTTGGCTCTAGAGAATGGCCTTGATCTCCCCTTGTACCTTATCTTGTACTCAATCTTCCCATTTTCAAACTTGGTGGGGAACAAGGTCATTGTGAGCTGAGATGGCTTGACTGAAGGCCTGAGCTGGTGGATCTTTCTTTTTCTCTCCTGGTCTTGCCTTAGAGGCTGCATCCTCCCCTTCTTTTAGAGCCCTTCCTAGTGGCTCATCAAACAAAGCTTGAAGGCTCTCTTCATCAAGCACACAAGGGGCTTGAACAAGTCTATCAGCTCGTGGCCTATCAGAACGTGGTTTCTCAACTCTAGCCCTCTCAAGACGTGGCTTCTCAATCCTTGGTCCTCTCTCACCTTATCCTTCCCAACTCTTGGTTCTTTGTCAACCCTTTCCTTCACAACCTTTGTAGCTCCATGACTCTTAGAACTGAGAGTGGTACTGTCAATTGTGGCACAAAAGTCTGAACCTCTAGGCTGCAAGCGATATGACACCAAACTATTCACCTTGTGAAGGATCACTTCTTGCTTGTGAAAGTCTATTGAAGCGCCAACTGTACTAAGGAATGGGGTTCCCAATAACAGAGGTAGATCCTTCTCTTCTTCCATTCCATCACAGTGAGATCAGTTTGGATGATGCATTCTCCAATTTTCAAGTGATAGTTCTTGAACACTCCAAGAGGAGACTTAGAAGTTGCATCTCCAAACATGATTGAAGTAGTAGGGCGCTGCAAGGCTCCAGCAATGCCTAGCTTCTCTGCCATGAGAGAGAGATCAGATTGATGCTTGCTCCAGAATCCACTAAGGCATTGTCAAGCTCAAGATGCCCAAGTGTGCAAGGGAGAGTGAATTTCCCTTGATCCTTGACCTTTGGTAGGAAAGTGGGTGAAGTAAGCAGGTTGAACTGATGAGTAGACTCTCAGGACCTCTGAAACTTTATCACTGTTGGCAGAACATCCTTGACCATTTGCATTTGATCAAATGCCTCACTCATGCTATCCATAGAGGCAACTCAATTCCAATCCCACTGAGATCTCTTCTGAACTTGTGAATCACTTCCTTGTGACCTTGACTAAGTAGGCGAGACGAGGAAGCAACCGGTTGGTAAGGATCAAGCAAAATCGGCTTGGGACAGAAGAGGTCGGACTCGATCGAGCTAGAGTTCGAGCTCGATCGAGCTTGTCGTGCGAGCTCAACTGGTGAAGTGTGAATGGCCACAGTAGGTTGCACTTCTGGTTGATCAATCTGGACTCCAGGAGCCTCAGCAGCAACAATCTCTTCATCATTCAGCAGTAAACAAAATCTTCAATGACCCTTTCTTGATCCTCTTCTTCAACAAGTCCTTCTTGAGTGAAGATGACCTTGCACTGTTCCTTGGGGTTCTGAATAGCTTTACCAGGTAGTTGTCCTTGCTTTGTAGCAGCAGCAACAGAAGAAGCATGATTCTCCAGAGAGTAAACCCTTGTGTTGAGTTCTCGATCTTGGAGTTTATTTCAGCTAGCTTCTTGCTTGTGTCCACTACCCATCAGCTTGCCCTTGAAGTAGTTGTTTAGCATTGCCTTGAGCTCATTCTCTTGTAGGTGCAGGCTGGGGTGGTTGGTGGGGAAAGCCTGGTGGTATTCATTTGTTGTCCAGGGAAAGTCCCTTGGGTCCTTGGTAATTGTTCTTTTGACCATACCCATGTTGTGGCTTGACTCGATCGAGCTTGCTTGTTGTTGAGGATAGACTTGGTCCTGAGGGTTAGCAACATCAGTGTTGCGGTATGACATGGCAGGGTTGGACTTGTAATTATAGTATCCTTTGTTGTAACCTCCTTGCCCATTGCTCATGTAGCACACCTCAGCAAATTGTGTATCCTCCCCTTCTTGGACTGGTTCCATCTCCTCAGCAGACACAAAGTTGACTTTCTTCATTGTGGACTGAGCTAGATCAGCTTATCCAACTTCTCATTCAATGCCTTAACATCTTTTCTCAATTTCGTCTGACTCGATCGAGTGGTGGGTCGAGCTCCGGTTGGTGCGATCATACTCTTCTCCATAGCTTCCATTTGAGTTAGCTATGTTCTCCACAAGTTGCCAGCCATCATCTACATCCTGGTTGAGGAAGTTCCCATTGCTAGCTGTGTCTAGCATCTCCCTATACCTAGGCAAGCATCCTCTATAAAGAGTAGAGAGTAGTGATTCATTGTTGAATCCATGGTGTGGGCACTGACTTGTGTAGCCTTTGAACCTCTCCCAAGCCTCTGCGAATGTCTCATTGTTTCGCTGGATGAAGCTGGATATCTCTCCTCTAAGCTTGGCTGTGCGACCGGTGGAGAAAAACTTAGCAAGAAAGGCCTTCTTGCATTCATCCCAAGTGGTGATTGTGCCATGGGGCAAGCTCTTCTCCCATTGGTGAGCTTTGTCAGCTAGAGACATAGGAAAGAGTCTCAGCTTGATGGCATCTTCAGAGACACCATTGATCTTTGTCAAATCACAAAGCCTATCAAACTCATCAAGGTGGTCAATGGGGTCTTCACTTGGCAATCCATGGAACATCTTGTTCTGACAAGGTTGATCATTCCCAGCTTGATCTCAAAGTTGTGGTTCTGCACTGGTGGTGGAACAATCCCTTGTCTCTGTTGGTGGCGGTTTGGAGCATCTCCTTGACCAATCGGTCGAGTTTGCCTAGCTCGACCGAGTCCATTGCCCAAAGGGTTTCCATTCCCCTCTGGTACATCCATTGTATCAGCAACAAGCACCTCAGGTTCCTCTTGTACCCTCTGTGACCTCTGAACCCTCTTTCTACCCGTTGTAAGTCTAGCTCGACCAAGTCTTCTGTTGACCGACTCGATCGAGTTCGCATACACCTGCAAAAAGAGACAAAAACCCAGCAGTACAATAGAACAGGGGTGGTATAGCTTGATCGTCCAAGTGTATGTTTGAAACTCAAATGCAACAAAAAATTCCCAAATCGGCAACGGCGCCAAATTGATGATAGGATTTGTGTGTGGATGTGAAAGATATGAAATGAAATGTGGTGGAATGCAACAGTGGTATATAAGATGAGGTGGTAAGATGCAAACACAAACACAATCAACAATTCCCTTAACCATCATAGTCATTATAGTATAAGGGTTATCAATCCAAAATGGGAAACTTGTCACTCTATGAGAATATGAAAAACAGGAAGTCAAGCAAGCAGTAAATGATAAGTAACACTAACAACCTAATGAAACAGTAAAGCAAGCAGCTCGACCAAGGACTCGAGTCGAGTAGGAACAGAGTACCAGCTCGATCGAGTTTACGAGTTGAAAAAGCAATAAAGGCACGACTTTAACAAGCTAAGAGAGAATTAGGGTTCAAGACAGGGTTTTGCAATAGGAATCTACACTTAATCAATCTGCTCTTAAAACTCCTTGTATCAAGGCTTCTCTTGATATTGGGCTTCTCAATGCCTAGCCAACCCTTTCCCAAGGTGAAAGGCTATCAACCAAGGAATGATCTCAGAAACAGGGGGTTAGCCAGTGAGAATCAAACCTTGGAGGCCATAGGATCATTGCCCAAACTAATCCATCCAACCCCTTAGACCTCCATTTCGAGAGCAAGAGATATTGGAGCTCTTAGTGGATCTTTTCCAGCGAATTTCCATCACTTCCATGTGGAGAATCGCCTAAGGACTTACAAGCCAGGGGTAGTGGTCATGTAGCCTTAAGATTATCCAAAAGAGAGAGAATCTAGATTAAGACCATAAGCAAGAAGGATTAAGCATATGAAACCTCTAATCTATCCCATCTCAAACCCTAATGGGTAACTACTCACTACACATGAATGTAAACACAAGCAAATGCAATGAAAAAGACATCATAAGAAAGAGGAGATAAAGATAAACAACTTTTATTGAAATAAGCAAGTGCAAATACAAAGAGATAATCCAGGATCTAGGATTCAAGAAGCAAGAGCTTCAAGAACACAAAGATGGATTAGAGTTCTAAAAAGTAAAAGACAATAAATTAAAAGAAAGCTAAAACAAAATAATCTAAAGCTTGGTGGTTTTTTCGTGGCTTAGAGCCTTTAAATACAAAGAGGATTAGGTTTAGGGTCAAAGGAAGTCAAGGGGGAAGCAACATTTTTCGGGTTTGACTTTGACTTCTCAGCTCGATCGAGTTGAAGCTTGGCCGGTCGAGTTGAGGAACTCGACCGGTTGGTCGAGTAGGTGGTCGAGCTGGTCTTCAAGATGGCTTCCTCCTTCTTCCTTTGCGTATCCAGTTGAGCTGCGTCCATGCCAAGTCCTCCATGCTCCTCACGTCCCATATGCTCCAGAATGCTCCAAAAGACCTATTTCAAAGGACCAAACATGCATATGTATGCAAATGCAACCTAAAACTACTATGAATGCATAAGAAGAGAAAAGGAACAAGATATGATGCTAAATGGATGCTAAAACTATGCAAAAGATGCATAAAAGATGTACTAAAACTATGTAAAATGCAAGTACATCAACTTCCCTTTGACCCTAAACCTAACCTCCTTTCTATTTAAAGGCTCTAAGCCACGAAAAAGACAACAATCTTTAGCTTATCTTTTTTTAGCTTTTCTTTTTTATTGCTTTTACTTTTAGCAACCCTAAACCTCTCTTTGTGTTCTTGTGCTTCATGCTCATGAACCCTAGATCTTGGTTTATTTGCTTTGTATTTGCACTTTGCTTATTTCAATAAAAGTTGTTCATCTTTATCTCCTCTTTCATTTAATGTCTTCTTCATTGCATTTGATTGTGTTTCATTCATGTGTAGTGAGTAGTTCCATTTAGGGTTTGAGATGGGCTAGATTAGGGGATCTTTATGCTTAATCCTTCTTGCTTATGTTCTTAATCTAGAAATCTCTCTCTTTTGGACAATCCTTAAGGCTACATGACCACTACCCCTGGCTTGTATGTCCATAGGCGATTCTCCACATGGAAGTGATGGAAATCGCTTGAAAAGGTCCACTAAGAGCTCCAATAAACCTTGCTCTCGAAATGGAGTTCATAGGTGTTGGATGGATTAGTTTGAGCAATGATCCTATGGCCTCCAAGGCTTGACTCTCACTGGCTAACCCCCTGTTTCTGAGATCATGCCTTGGTTGATAGCTTTCACCTTGGGAAAGGGCTAGCTAGGCATTGAGAAGCTCAATATCAAGAGATACCTTGATACAAGTTGTTTAAGAGCAAGATTGATTAAGTATAGCCTTCCCTGATTGTAAGACCCTGTCTTAGACCCTAATATTCGCATTAGCTTGTTAAAGTTCCTGCCTTTATCGCTTTTTACTCTAACTCGACCCTCAACTCGATCGAGCTTGGTTACTCTGTTCCCACTCGACTCGAGTCCTTGGTCGAGCTGCTTGCTTTACTGCTTTCTTTACTTTCTGCTTTGCATTTCTACTTCATTAGGTTGTTAGAGTTACCGTCATCTTACTTACTGTCTGCTTGACTTTCTTGTGATTGCATATCTCATAGAGTAACAATTTACCCTTATGGATTGATACCCCTTATACTTCAATGACTATGATGGTTAAGGGGAATTGATTGATTGTGATTGTGTTTTGCACCATACCACCTCATCTTCATATACCACTGTTGCATTCCACCTCATTTACATTCATACCATATCTTTCACATCACACACAAATCCTATCATCAGTCATTCCTAGGTATGGTTTGCACCTATGACCGTTCACTATGAATTCCTTTCCTTCTTGGTTGAGTAGAGTGAGGGATCCATATGGTAGAACTTCATGGATCTTGAACGGTCCCGACCACTTTGATCTTAACTTCCCGGGAAACAACCTCAACTTGGAGTTAAACAAGAGCACACTGTCCCCAACCTTGAAGTCTTTAAGGCGAATCAGTTTGTCGTGGGCTGCCTTGGTTCTCATCTTAAGATCCTGGAGTTCTCATAGGCATTCATTCTGATTTCCTCCAACTCAAACAAGTTCATTACTCTCTTTTCTTGTGCTGCCTTTATATCAAAGTTCAGCATCTTCACTGCCCAAGTGCCTTGTACTCGACCTCCACAGGTAAGTGGCAATTTTCCATACAAAGTTGAAAGGGACCTTCCAATGGGGGTTTTGTAAGCTGTTCTATAGGCCCAAAGTGCTTCATCAAGCCTTGTTGACCAATCCTTTCCTAGTGAAGCTCACAGTCTTCTCCAATATAGCCTTAATCTGTCTGTTGGAGACTTCAACTTGCCCACTGGTTTGAGGATGGTAGGGCGTGGCAACCTTGTGCTTGACTCCATAGTTCTTCATCAACTTTTCAAACACCTTGTTGATGAAATGGGAACCTCCATCCGATAACAACCCTTGGGATGCCGTATCTTGGAAAGATGATGGTTCTGAAAAGTTTGATAACAACCTTGGCATCACAGGCTGGGCAGGGGAATGGCTTCAATCCATTTGGACACATAGTCCACAGCAACCAAAATGTAGTTGTGCCCGTTTGAGGGGCTTGAAAGGTCCCATGAAGTCTATTCCCCATACATCAAAGATCTCAACCTCAGAATTGGGTTTAGTGGCATTTCATCTCTCTTGGTGATCCCTCCTTTCCTTTGGCATGGATCACACTTGGCAATGAAGCTTGCTGCATCCTTGAACAAAGTAGGCCACCATAACCCAGATTGCAAAACCTTAGTTGCTGTTTTGAATGTGGCAAAGTGACCTCCATAAGCAGACCCATGGCAATGCTCTAGAACTCCTTGTACATCCTCTTCAGCTATGCATCTTCTGTAAATGCTTCTGGTCCTCTCTTGTACAAGTAAGGCTCATCCCAATAGTAGTGCCTAGCATCCTTGAAGAACTTCTTCCTCTTGTAAGCATCAAAACTACTAGGGACTTCTCCACACCATGAAGTTCACTATATCAGCATACCATGGCAAATTCTCATCACGCAGAGCCTTAACTTCTTCCAGCCTGACTTTCTCATCAAAACTCTTTCAAGATCATGATTGCCATAAGCTGTTCTTCAGGCATAGATCATTGATGGGGACTATGTCTTCAACTCGCATCCTAGAGAGATGATCAGCAACTCCATTCTCCACTCCCTTTTTGTCCACAACTTCTATGTCAAACTCTTGAAGCAAAAGGATCCATCTGAGAAGTCTTGGCTTTGTATCTTTCTTAGCAAAGATGTGCCTAAGGGCAGCATGGTCAGTGTGCACAATCACCTTGGATCCAACTATATAGCTTCGAAACTTCTCAAAGGCAAAGACTATGGCAAGGAGCTCCTTCTCTGTGGTTGCATACTTGCATTGAGCATCATCCATAGTCTTGCTTGCATAGTAGATGACATTGAGTTTCTTGTCTATCTTTTGGCCAAGCACTGCTCCTACTGCATAGTCAGATGCATCACACATAATCTCAAATGGGTGATCCCAGTTTGGAGCTTGAACTATTGGGGCAGATACCAGAGCATCCTTCAGCAAGGTCCAAGACTTGTGGCATTCTTCATCAAACTCAAAATCTGTCTCTTGCACAGAAGCCTTGTCAAGGGTCTTGCTATCTTTGAGAAATCCTTGATGAATCTCCTGTAGAACCCTGCATGACCCAGAAAACTCCTGATATCCTTCACAGTCTTGGGAACAGGAAGCTGCAACATGACATCCACCTTAGCTCGATCGAGCTCGATCCCCTTTCTCGGAAATCTTGTGTCCAAGACAATCCCTTCTCGAACCATGAAGTGGCACTTCTCCCAGTTGAGTACTAGATTGTCTCCTCACACCTCTGCAACACCCTGCACAAGTTTGACAAACATGAGGAGAAGGATGCTCCATAGACTGAGAAATCGTCCATGAAGACTTCTACCATCTCCTCTATCAGATCTGAAAAAATGGAAGTCGTGCATGTAACACCCCCGACTCGATCTACACATAGACAAAGCCGGTGAGCGTCACAATTTACCGAGGTTTGCTGGATAGGCCATCCCGGGCGAAGAACACAACACAGCCCAGGTCAGCCCGTCCCGCGAGCTCGACCCTCTCGGCCACGGCCGAAGGCTTTTCAACCCGTACCAAAGCCGAGAGTTGTGTTAGCCCGGACAAAGCTAATATCAGATGAAACCAGTTGATATAGAAAATAAACTTTATTAATCTATATATGGTTTCTCAAAACATCAGAAATACATTACGTTCGAGCCTAATGCCCAAAACCCACACTACATAAATTCAAAAGCGTTTAATTTACAAAGGCAAGACAAACTACGCTGGCGGCCTAACGTCCTTGCTCCAACTACTGGTTTCCTGCAAAAGAAGAGTGGAGGGTGAGCGCTAATCGCTCAGTGAGTTGTAGCTCCCACTAACAGGCAATAATAAACCCACCCAAAAACCCAAAATAACACAGAACAAGCAATGTTGCTATAACTCCTAGACTGACCGCACAACAATCAAACAAGAAGATGCACGATCAATCAGAGATTATAAACAACAACAATCAATCAATGCTTAAACATGCAATAAATAAACTTAACATCACACTCAACCACTTCCTCTTTCGCGTGTTCGGTACTTCCCGCGAACACCTATCTCACAGCCACACAGGCACGCGAGATAGAACATCACTACCCGAGTTCCATCTCCCAGACAGTCACATCCCGTTGGATCGCCGTTTCCACGGTTCACAACCCAAACGAGTTCTGTCTCCCAGATGGTCACATCCCGGGCTGTCTATTCCATACTCGGCCATAGGCAGCAACCCCGTCTCTCTGAGTATTCTCATTAGCCATTACACTAACTACATGAGGTGGAATAGTACTCGACCATAGGCTGCTATGCCGTCTCTCCGAGTCTTCCCACCTAGCCAGTCCATTTGCTAGGAAGGGGTACAAAAGAAGACCGAACCGCCAACATCAACATCAAACAAGTAACCATGTAACCTCACATGCAATATGATAACAATAAACAAGATCTAACAAACAAGCATCATAACAAAGAACCACACAGTCAAACCAATCAATCAAATAATAACATCAAGCAATCAAAGAAATCAATCAATCACGCAATCTAGCATTTCCTAGCAAGCAATCAAACATCACCACAACTCACAATCAAACTATCAATATATCAAGCAATCTAACATTCCCTAACAAGCAATCAAACATCACCACAACTCACAATCAAGCTATCAATATATCAAGCAATCTAACATTCCCTAACAAGCAATCAAACATCACCACAACTCACAGTGCTTTCGGCTGAACGGTTTCTAGCCTAGGTTTACTACTCCGGGTTTACCGCTGAACCGTCAGCTTGCCATAAGCTTCTGCCCGAACGCTCCCTCTCTTCTTCTTCTTTTTCTTCTCTTTCTTCTTCTTCTCCTCCTCCTCCTCTTTCTTCTTCTTCTGGGCGTCCTCCCTCTCACTCTATTTCTCTCTCTACTTTCTCTCTCTTTCTTTCTGATTTTTGGTGTGGTTTGCAAATGAGGCCAAGGGTCCTATTTATAGGCTGGGAAGTGAAGCAGGTGAGTGATCTCCTCATAAGAATGGCGCCACCTCTTCCCCTGTGTGGACTAATGGTGTTGAGGCACGCCTACAGCAACTCCATCCATCATTATCCACTTAGCTTGAATGGCACTTTTCCATTGGTCCATTTTCCAAGCTGCTAGGTAGCTGAACCTGATTGGTCCATTGAAGATGATCATCACTTCCTTGATCCTATCTTCCTGGAACGAGTGGCTCCATCCCATTGGCTCCTTCCTCAAGCTGTTGGGTGCTTGGACATGATTCGTCCAACACATTTTCGTCCCTTATGAGTAGCTGAGTGCTCACACTTGATTGGTCCAGCATAATTTCGTCCTATGTAGCTGTTGGTGTCGCCCCTTACTGGTTTAGACCATTCTTATCATCTCCAAGTAGCTGGTGTTGTCATCCCATTGCTCCACCCACCTTTTGCCTTTTGAGGAGGGTTTTTTATGTTTCCTCTTCCAGAGGGTTTCGTCCCCGTCGTGCTTGAGAATTAAAATTTTCTATTTTAATCCTTTCGTCAGTTCCATGCTTTTGAGCTTTCACTTAGCTACTCGGAAATGTCCGGAAATTCCTTATCCCGACCATACCGTTCTTGAAACAGCTTTATCTTCTCTTCGTCTTCAGAGTTGTTCATCCCATCCGGACCATTGGGATTGGGATCGTGCGACTAAAATTCCGCTCTGATGCGGGATATTACAATGCATCTCTGGAATGTAGCTCGGGCATTGCACAGCCCAAATGGCATCCTTCGATATGCGAGGGCATGTGAAAGTTGTCTTCTCCTGATCATTTGAGTTTGGAAGAAACCACTGTAACCATAAAGAAAACAGTAAAAAGGATGGGTTGCTAATCTTTCTAACATCTGATCAGTGAAGGGAAGAGGGAAATGATCCTTTCTAGATACAGAATTTAACTTCTTGTAGTCTATACACATGCGATGCCCCACTATTGTTCTAGTGGGGATCAGCTCCTCTTTGTCATTCTTTATGACAGTGATTCCTCCCTTCTTTGGGACGCAGTGAACCGGAGATATCCAAGTGCTATCACTAATAGGATAAATTATCCCAGCATTAAGCAACTTGAGTATCTCTTTCTTCACTACTTCCTTCAGATTGGGGTTCAATCTCCTTTTAGGCTCAATGCTAGACTTACTTTCATCCTCTAGATGAATCCTATGAATGCATAGGTCAGGAGAGATCCCCTTGATATCATCTAGAGTATAGCCTATGGCTTTCCTGTACTTTCTCAATTCAACAGGCAATTGATCCAATTGTTCAGCATTCAGCTCAGAGTTCACAATCACCGGGTAGGTCGAGTTTTCACCCAGAAATGCATACCTGAGGCCCCTGGGCAAAGGTTTGAGGTCTACCTTAGGTGCCTTGAGCTCGGACCAATCTCCTTGAGCTTGCTCCTTGCATCCTTCAGTCCCCAGCTCGATCGATTCGCAATTTCACCTCGGGCTCGATCGAGTCTTGATCGAGCTCACTGCCATGACTTCGCAAACTGGTCTGTCTAACCCCTCAATGCTCAGAATGCTTGGAACCGGTCTGAAGGTGTCAAGGAGCTTCGAATATTCCTCGGTTTCTGAGCATATACCCTTCTGGAATCCTTGGTTAGAGCAACTTGTGGATCTTCCAATGATAGTTCTTCCTAAAAGCTCATCCGCCAACTGATCCATTTCTTCAATAAAAGAGTTGCCTTCTATTGTTGGCTTCCTCAATGTATCCTTGATGTCAAACTTCATCTTTAGGTCCTTCCCAAGGTTTAGCTCAATTGTGCCTTCACAGACATCTATCATTGCTCTTGCTGTAGCTAGGAATGGCCTTCTAGTATCAAGGGGATTGTTGGTTCTTCATCCATCTCAAGCACAATGAAGTCGGTGGGGATCTCTACATTCCCTATTCTCAAAGGTAGGTCTTCAAGCATTCCAGTTGGTAACTTATCGATCTATCTGCCAAAATTAGTGAGATTCCGCAGGCTTGATACTTGTGATATCCTAGTCTCTTGCACTACAAAGGCATAAGGCTGACTGATGATCCTAGGTCGCAGAGGCTGTTCTTGAAAGATAGAGGTCCCAACATGCAGGCAAAGTGAAACTCCCCGGATCTTCTTTTTTTGTTGGAGATGACCTTCCGCTGAATGATTGCACTGCACTCACGAGTCAACACTACCATTCCTTGCACCTCCTTGGTTCTTTGTACAGCATCCTTCAGGAACTTTTGGTAGGGTGGAATGAGCATCAAGCATCGATGAAAGGCAACTTCAGCTCAAGTTCCTTCATTAGTTCATCAAACTTAGCCTTGTGCTTTCCAACAGCTGTTTCTTGAACCTTCCTGGGAAAGGTAGAGGGGGTTTGTATGGTGGTGGCCCTGATGGAGTGTCCTTCTTCTTTCCAACAGGTTTAGTTGGTTGGCTGGAAGTTGCCTTGTCAGTTTGCTCTTCTGGCTCGATCGAGCTCTGGTTTGTCTTGCTGAGTTTTGGTTTCTTCAGCTCGATCGAGCTCTGGTTCATGTTATGTTCCAGCTCGATCGAGTTCGGTGCAGGGATGTCAGCATACTCGACCAAATCCTCCCCTTCCTGGTCATCGATGTCCACAGCGATTTTTGGAATGCCTACTCTATTAGGCAACTGTCGTCCGCTTCTCAGTGTTACTGCTTGGGCATATTCTTGAGGTGAAGAGGATGAGGCACTAGAAGACTCAATGATTTGAACTCTTGAAGTTAATGACTCAAGTTTGGAGTTTATCTCAACCAACTTGTGGTTCATTTCCAGTGAACCTTTGGTTTGCCCTTGTAGGAGCTGTTGGAGCATTTCCTTCATATCCCAAATTTGACTTGGTGGGGTATGGTGAGGCATTGGGACGAAACCCGGTGGTACACCTTGGTTCTGCAAGTTGCTTGAATAGCTATTGTATGTGCCCTGTTGGCCATAGCTGATTTGATATCCTGGATTGGTGTTCCTATAGCCTCCTTGTTTATTTTGGATGTAGCAAATCTCATGCTGCTTCTCCTCCCCTTCCTGGTCCTTAATTAGAGCTTTTCCAGAGACATAGTTAACATGCTTGGGAGGGAATTGAGCCATGATCAATTTGTCTAACTTGGAATTGAGGGCATGCATGTCTTTCCACATTTGTGCTTCCAACTAGATCGAGTGCGCGGCCGAGCTCCAGTCTGTACTATCAAAATTCTCTCCATAACATTCAGTTGAGGTGGCCATGTTCTCCACAAGCTGCCAACCATCATCCACATCCTGATTGAGGAACTTTTCATTGCTGGCTGTGTCCAACATCTCTCTATACCTTGCCAAACAACCTCTATAGAGAGTAGAGAGAAAATACTCATTGTTGAAGCCATGATGGGGGCACTGACTTGTGTAGCCCTTGAATCTCTCCAAAGCCTCAGCAAAAGTCTCATTGTTTCTCTGTACGAAACTCGAAATCTCACTCCTTAGCTTGGATGTGCGACCGGTGGAGAAAAGCTTAGCAAGAAAGGCCTTCTTGCACTCATCCCA